ACAGGAAGTGAATTAACAGGAAGCAAAAAGTAATCTTTGAAGGCTCATATCTCAGTGAATAAATTTTTTTAGATAATGGGAGTTGGAACACATCATTATTATGGTCAGGCAATCATATTAAGACCATAAAATAAATACCCTAAAAAATCACTGCACTTACACTTTAAAGAAGCCAGTGTAAATGAAGTATTATGATTCAAAGAAGTAACCTACTTAGTACATAGAAATTAACTTCTTCACCAATACTTCCAGTTACAAAAGAACTGTTTCGGCACTGTAGAGTTGTACCATTCATATTCCTGGTAACCTTCGTGATGGTAGCCATAGATCGAATCAGTGGCACTTCTGAACATATTGAAAGGAGTTCCACTTCGATATTTGGTGACAAGAAACGGGTAGTGGTTGCACCACTACTGAAGGGAACTCCATTGGCCCCAGAAAATGACCAAAAAAGGAGAGGGCCGGCAACTTCACACAAAAATTGTTGTCGGGTCTGTCCCAAACACAAGGTAGCATTGCCCGATGTACTTAGTATCACTATAAAAAAAATTAAAATGTTAGTTAAAAGAATATATGTACCTGAAGCTGATGAAGAAAGGATCATAATCATAAGAAACACAAAGACAAAGCAAGCCATTTTGACCATTATCAGCAAGATCAGCAGAGGAAGTTGCAAGTTGGTTATGCGTCATGTGATTAATTCCAGCTCTCCATTATCTGCTGATCTGCTAAATTGGTCATGCGTCATGTGATGATGTCACTTCCTCTATTTACTATAAAATACAAAACAGTCGGCCGGGAAGCCAAACCTGATTTTCTATTTCTTACCGGAAGTGATGTTTTTCTCGAAATGGCGGACTTTTGCTCTGGTAGTGCCTCTTGCCTATTTTTATTATTTATATCAAAACTAAGAAGTCTACAGTTGCTTTGCTGTTCTCTGCGCCTTTAGCATTGGATAAAGATGTGTACAACTGATCTTCTACATTTATAACCAAGAACTGTTCGTGTTCAGGCGCTTGTTTCCACTGTGAGAATTAAAAATGGCTGACTTAAAAATCATATTAAATTCTATAACTTGTAAAATAGAGTGAATGCACTCACAGTTACAAGGTAGTTTATTAGTATTATAGATGTCTGTTATTCTGCAGAAGTTTTATTGCTGGAGGAGAAAAGGGAACATTTTTCTAACAAGTTAAAGGTCCCAGCAAGTACTATGAGCCTATAGCTATGTGTTTGTGTGTGTTTAGCATTGTTGTATTCATGAGTATAGCTTGTAATGTTTGATATAATATGCAAATTGTAGTCATTGCAGTGGTTTTCAACTTTCTTTATACCTGTGTTTGGCAGATATCTTGAGCTTTTGTGAGAGTGGCAACTGTCATTCATATTTGTACTCATTTGAATTGTGTAGGTACCTGGTTGGCTGTTTTAGCATTATAGATCAAGGTTATTGTGAGGATATAGACTTTGATCCCTATTATTTTCTTCCTGGGTAAAGATATCATGATATATTACAATTTTTCTGACCACGTGGACACCAATGGTGACATAGCTGCATCTGAGAGTTCCACCTTAAAAGTTGATGTCTGTAGCTGTGACTCTGTTGTGTTTGAGGAATGTAATGGTGTACCAGGAGTAAACCATGAGGTTGATGGTAAAGCTGGGTGGATACCTGTTCGTGAGCACAGGAGAGGAAAATCACGCCTCAAACCACATGATGAAAAGATTCTGATTCTGAAACTGAGGAACTAAGATTACCTGTGAATGCCACAGTACGTTTACTCTCCATAGATGAATCTCCTGGATTACATATTGCTAATTATAAAGTGAAATACTGGTCCCCTATTCCGTTAGAACTCAGTCATAGTAAACCAGGATTGCAGTAATTATTTTAGTTAGTTAATTATGTTAGGCTCTTTGATTTGATCAATGAGTCCTTCAAAGACTCTTTTTCAAATTATTCTATCTTTATTCATTGCTGTGTCGATGTCTTTGTAAAGTTCATTATTATTATTTATCATTATTATTATTAAAATTTTAATCAATTTAATCATACTTGATAATTAAAATAATTTTAACTTCAGTATTCTTTAGAATGCACTCATGAAATTTTTCTATGTGGTACTTAAAAGGTGTCTTTATAAGGTAACTGTTGCCTTATAACTATTCCTTGTGTAGGAATATTTTTCTAAATAATAGAATTATTATGATGAAAATTAGCTGTAAGTTCCCAAAAAAAACAACCTAGCTTTGCTGTTTTCATAAATGATGTGCTCTATTGATCAAGCACTTTATCTCTTATTGTGGCAAGTCCACTGCTAGGATAGTTATCTAATTCTATCCAAGTTTCTGTGTATCTATGTACGCTACCACCCACGCAGTTGCTCAATGAACAAGAAATAGGTTTATACACAATTTATATGGACTTCCTGTGGCTTGGCTCTCCGACATCATTAGCAAAATTCGTATACTTCCGTCTCACGTGAAGAGGAAAATGGCCTTCTGCTCTGTGAAGGTTTCTCTGTGATGCTGCTGCTCTTGTTCAAGATGGCAAGACAAATAAGGTGAGTCTTACGTTTGTTGTAAGGTTTTCTTTACACTTTAGCCAGCCCTTAGTAGCCGAACGACACTTTGTTTGCTCGAGCTACTCACGGTTACCTCGATCAATTCTTTGTTTGCTCGAGCTAGTTTTTGTTAGCTCTAGAAACCCTGTATCAGCTCTAGAGATCCAATGTTAGCTAAAGCAGGTCTGTGTTTGTTCAAAAAGTCTCTGTGTTTGTTCAAAAAGTTCCTGAGTTTGCTCGAGCGACCCTGTAGCAGGCTAGAGCAAAGCCGACCCTTTTGCCGGGTAGCTCTAGAAAGCCTCTGTTAGCTCTAGCAACTCTGTGAAAGCTCTAGATACCCTGTAGAAACTTCAAAGCAAGTAATAAGCTTGTAGCAACTTGACACAAAATATTTATTATTATAAAAGACATGAATGCGTGCAATGATTATTGTCTCCACTCCAGTGAAAGGACCTTAATGATTGAAGGACCTAGAATGAAACAGAACAAAGTAAAGCAACAAACAAAAAGATACAAGAATGTCCAGGAAGAGTTATAAGGTAAGTGTGACAAAGTGAGTACTATAACTGAATAGTATTGTGAGTTAGATTACTATGACAGTGTGGGCACCAGTAATTGAGGGATTATGTGAAACAGTGGGTAGTGAGTGACAAAGGCGGTGGCAGGATTTGAGGAGCGGTCGGGCAAAAAGTGGCGTGCAAAGCGCACCACAATTTTGGCCACACCCACTTTTTCTCGCGTATTTTTGGGCTTATACTCAACGCACGCATACAATATCATAAAGCATAAAAATGAGCCTAAAAGGCCCCCTTATCTTATATGTAAAGCTCTATCAAACCTGTAAAGTGCTAGTCCTGGTCCTCTTGGAAGACTTGTTGACAAAGGAAAGCAGAAAAGACTGTCTCTTGCTAGCCATGGTAATTATTTATGACTAAAA